AAATAAGTGTGTAGAATAGCAGAAGATGTGCTGCAGTTGATTACAAGGCTTCTGTAGCGTATATACAACACCAACACACACTATACAGCACTGCACACTATTACACTTGTGCAGGAAACACACTCTTACACCCTTTACAGGTGAAGTGTTGAGGAAAGATCAAGTCATGACAAGTGTTCAGGGTGCTTACTGTGCTGTTCTGGGGGGCTGATGATGGGGTTTTGTATTAGGTAAAGTGTATATTGCTTGTGGTTGGTTTATTATATTTAATGCAGATGCACATCCTAATCAAATATAAAGTTATGAATTCTTTCCAGTGAAGATATTCAGTTCATCAGGTGAAATGATACTTAATATTGCAATTTGTATCGCAGAAAAATAATATATAGCAATGTCATATATACACATATATATATACACAGTTGATGTCTGAATGATTCGCCCCCTGTGAATTAGTTTTTCTTTTTTAAGTATTTCCCAAATGATGTTGAACAGATTGAGGAAATGTTCACAGTATGTCTGATAATATTTGTTCTTCTGGAGGAAGTCTTAGTTGTTTTATTTCGGCTAGAATAAAAGCAGTTTTTAATTCTTTTAAAGCCATTTTAAGGTCAATATTATTAGCCCCTTTAAGCTGTATTTTTTTCCGATAGTCTCCAGAACAAACCATCATTATACAATGTCTTGCCTAATTACCCTAACCTGCCTAGTTACCCCAATTACCCTAGTGAAGCCTTTAAATGTCACTTTAAGCTGTATAGAAGTGTCTTGAAGAATATCTAGTCTAATATTATTTACTGTCATCATGACAAAGAGAAAATAAATCAGTTATTAGAGACGAGTTATTGACACTATTATGATCGAAAAAAATCTCTCAGTTAAACAGAAATTGGGGAAAAATGTAAACGGGGGGGGGGGGGGGGGATGTAATTCTGACTTCAACTCTGTGTGTGTGTGTGTGTGTGTGTGTGTAAGTGTATATGTGTGTGTTTAGTTGCTAGGCTGTTCAGTGTGGTTTGCTATCATATTGTAGGTGGTTGCTAGGAGGTTGTTATTGTGTTCTGAGTGGTTGCTAGGCTATTGTAGGCAGTTTTTAGGGTGTTTTTAGTGGTTGCTAGGGTGTCTAGACTGTTGGTGTGGTTGCAAGAGTGTTGTGTGTGGTTACCAGGCAGGTGCTAGGGTGCTCTGTAGGGCTGGGCAATTAATCAAAAGTAATTAAAATCGACACTCAGAACCTATAATCGATTAATTTTTTCCTTGTCAATTACTTTTCCTACAGCGTGTGCAGACGCGTGACCCCACACTGATTTATACCTCTGCAGATTCAATATGAAAAACATTGACAATAATTGATTTCCTTTCCAAAAGTGCAAATTATTCATTCATTCATTCATTTTCGGCTTAGTCCCTTTATTAATCAGGGGTCGCCACAGTGGAATGAACCGCCAACTATTTTAGCACGTTTTACACAGCGGATGCCCTTCCAGCTGCAACCCAGTACTGGGAAACACCCAAACACACTCATTCTCTCTCTCTCTCTCACACACACACACACACACACACACACACACTACAGCCAGTGTAGTTGATCAGTTCCCCTATAGCGCATGTGTTTGGACTGTGGGGGAAACCGGAGCACCTGGAGGAAACCCACACCAACACGGGGAGAACATGCAAACTCCACACAGAAACACCAACTGACCCAGCTGGGACTCGAACCAGTGACCTTCTTGCTGTGAGGCCACAGTGCTGACCACTGAGCCACTGTGCTGATACCTGCAAGTTATTTGTTTCCACTTTTTTTTTTTTAATAAGTGCGTGTTCATTTTAGGCAGTGTGTGTTTTCATTTCAGTTGTTCAACACTTATGTTCATTAATTAGTCACAGATATAATGTGTGTCTCTTTCAATTTAATCTCCTGCTTGTAATATGAGAGTATTTCACTGTACAAAACCTGTCAGTGAACTATGAGAGCAAAAAAATAAAATAATAAAATAATCGTGTATTAATTGTAATCGAGTTAAAATGTTCAATTAATCGAGATTTTGGTTTTAGCCCTAGTGCTCTGGCTGTTTTAGTGTGTTCTTGGAGCTGGACGACGCACTGATGTTTATTGGTCGTGACTCCGCTGCTGTAGTTTCACTATGTCTCATCAAGACAGAAGTCGACTTCCTGTTAGCGCAGCAAGTTTGCGTGAATGCTAGCTGAGTCATTCCCAGTAAAAACCTGCTGCGGACGGAGCGTCGGCTTGTACGCTGATGGAAAACTGTGGTAAAATCCTAAATCTGCATAAACAAATCATGTTTACAGTGGGAAAGAGACACACACACACACACACACAAACACACACACACACATACACACACACAAAGACCTTCACATGCTCTGACATGCAGAAGTGAACAGCACAGGATTTTGCACTCGCCACAGGAGCTCCAGCGTAATGCATCTGCTGTTTCAGCATGGTTATATACAGTATGTTCACAGTATGTTGAAGCTGTTATATTTTCTAAAACCAGAGTGTTGATCAGAGAAACTCTATTTTGATGATCCATGTGCAAAGTGCAGGGCACAAACGCACTCGGGGTGTGTCAGAATCCACTTTTTGCTAATTTAAGGACGGGAAAATCCGCTTTGCGCCGTGGCACATGGTTTAACAGGGTTGAGTTTATTCTCTTAATGAGTTATAGGTGTGTTTTGAGAATAAACCAATCAGAGTCTCATCTCACATTCCCTTTAAGAGCCAGCTGCGTCACGCCATAAGCGCATTTGCTGTTTACATGACGTAAAGTAAGTGTAAGTGGAAAAGCTGAGCATTTCACTAGCAAGTAAACAGTTAAAGGGCCATGAAACCCCCGTTTCAGCAGGATGTTTTCACACCTCTAGTTTGGAAAAAGTCTGGAAAGTGGGCGTGTCTAGCTCTGTTTGGGTGGGAGTGTCGGGGGAGGGAAAATGGGCAGGGTTTAAATAAAAATGGGAGTTGCCATTTGGGCACGCTTTGAGGACAGAGGAAATACAAACACAAACACACACGCAGGGGAGAAAGACAGTGTGTTTAATGAAGGTGAAATGTTTGATACTGCACATCGTATAAGAGAAAAAAGCCTCTGCATTTCTCTGTAAAATACGACGAAAATTCAACACGACGGTCGGCAAAAGTTTGCGTACAGTGTTCATGTGTTTACACACAGAGAGCAGCATTTACAGCAGATCTTTCAATGTTGTAGTGATATTAATGCACTGTAAACTGAGTAACTTAGAAATCATCTTGACTAAGCTCTGTCTTTAAACACTGAAAGAGTACTGCTGACCATACCAACTATAACTTTGCCATCTGAACGAACAAAGAAAGGGCGCTGATCGCACACACTTACCGAATCTGTAGACAGGATAATCCGCTCATACTGGAGCTGCGTCTTTATTAAGAGGAGACGAGCAGCAAATCCGGATCTCACCATTGATGAGAAAAGCTCTCGAGTAAAAAATGTTCCAAACAAGCGTATTTCTGCCGCGCGTCACGTGCACTGATCCACACGTGAGTCCTGCAGCGGTCTCATAGAGAGAAAATGAAAACCAAACCTTCACATGATAAAGCAACACTGGCGACACGTATCTCCAAACAATTCCTATTCTTTTCCCACAACCTTTGGCAACACGACGTGTGTCGTCTCTCTGCCGTCTGAACACTGTTTCAGGTACAGTCTAAGAGAGCTAGCATGCATATTAATGAAGTTGCAGCGCATACATAACGGAGCGCCCTGATTGGTTTGAACCAAGCCATACTCATGAATGAATGCAACACACTCAGAGACGTAATACTGGACGCCCTGGTACAGACGTCCAGTCCACACGCTGGAATACACGCTAAGATCTCATGGCCGTGACGCAGCTTCAAAAATTCGTTTTTGAAAATTAACCAATTTTCACTTTTTAGTGAGATATATGTGTCCTAATAGTGTTTTTAGCAGTGTGGACACATATACGACTGTCACGACCCTTTAAACAGAGCATCTGCAGCGCGAGAATGAGAGCCTCCTCATAATCTACTTTCACTCTCGTCGATAGGGAAACCTTTACGCACAGACATCAATTAGCCTATACATAATTAATTTTCATTTGTTAAGCGCAAAGATTTGTTTTAAAACTATTTCTAAATTCAGTTCTAATCTTCAGCAAACAAATAAATGAATATTAATAATGACGCGTGCTCAAACATCTGAGTTATATCCAAATACACATGCTGCACCATATGGTCTGAAACCTGACAGGTGGACAAATCTAAGCTTGTTTTTAATAAAACAAATATAAATATGGATATAATAAATAATACTGCTAACAATAATAACATTATACAAAAGCAAATTGTTATGAATGAACTGAAAAAGCCTCCCGAGATGATGAAGGCATGAGGGCAGTGGTGTTTATATTTATGTAGGCTGGAAAATAATATGTTTTGTAATATTTGAATCCTTTATATTTATATCCTATATCTATTCTTAATATATCCTATATATATCCTTAATATTTTAATTCTTCTTCATCTGTAAATATATTTGCGTATTACTCTACATCTTGTGTGTATTAAGCAGTGTGTAAGCGAGGTGCAACTCTGCGCTGGACAATAGACCGGCTTTGTTCTGGTCTGTTGAAAAATCTATTATAGTTTCTTAAAATAGTAACGCTCCAGCAGTGCGCCTCAGAACACTAGAGCAGAACACCTATGGGCGCACATATGAGCGCAAATGCATTTGCTATTTAAACAGCGTGCTGCAACACATCAAAACGACTCTTGTGCCAAGCTGAAACTAGTAGACAACTATTGCGCCGGGTGTCTGATAGAACCCAAAGTGTTTATGCCTCGATGTTTGATGTGTCAGTGCAGTAATGTGATGTAAAGAGCTGTGGAAATGCCCCATATTCTATCACAACACCCTAGAGTGGATTATTTGTCTAAGATGGCGAGCGAGACTCCTCGTTGATGTTGATGTTTTTCTTTTCAGTCCCAAAGGGAAGAAGTTTCGCAGTAAGCCTCAGTTATCTCGATATCTGGGTAACACAGTGGATCTGGGATGTTTCGACTTCCGCACGGGGAAGATGATGCCCGGCAAGATGCAGAAGAGCAAACAGAGACTCCGCAACGACAATCTGAGCCAGAGTAAAGTATGTCACGCTCACACACACACACACACACACACACACACACACACTGCACAACAAGCTTCATTAGTGAGTCTGTTAAAGGTGATGAGTGTTTATTTCACTGTCAAGGACTGTCATGCCAGTCTTGTGCATCTGTGTGTGTGTGTTTGAGTCAATGTTGTTTGGGTGTGTGAGAGAGTGTATATGCTTTGTTTGTTTTTTTGTTTTTTTGTTTGTGTGTGTTTGTGTGTGTGTGTGTTGTTTTTGTGTGTGTGTGAGTCTATTGTTTGTGTGTCTGTGCATGTGCGTGATTTTTGGTTTTTTGGTTTTTAAATGTGTGTGCGCTTGCATGCTTTGTGTGTCTGTGTGTGTGTGTGTGTGTGTGTGTGTGTGTGTGTGTCTCTGTGTGTGTGTGTGTTTGAGTAAAAGTTGTTTGGGTGTGTGAGAGAGTGTATATGCTTTGTTTGTTTGTTTGTGTGTGTGTGTGTGTGTGTGTTGTTTTTGTGTCTGTGTGAGTCTATTGTTTGTGTGTCTGTGCATGTGCGTGATTTCTGGTTTTTTGGTTTTTAAATGTGTGTGCGCTTGCATGCTTTGTGTGTCTGTGTGTGTGTGTGTGTGTGTGTGTGTGTGTGTGTGTGTGTGTGTGTGTCTCTGTGTGTGTGTGTTTGAGTAAAAGTAGTTTGGGTGTGTGAGAGAGTGTATATGCTTTGTTTATTTGTTTGTTTGTTTGTGTGTGTGTTGTTTTTGTGTGTGTGTGTGTGAGTCTATTGTTTGTTTTTCTGTGCATGTGCGTGATTTTTGGTTTTTTGGTTTTTGAATGTGTGTGCGCTTGCATGCTTTGTGTGTCTGTGTGTATGTTTGAGTAAAAGTTGTTTGGGTGTGTGAGAGTGTATATGCTTTGTTTGTTTGTTTGTGTGTGTGTGTGTGTGTTGTTTTTGTGTGTGTGTGTGTGAGTCTATTGTTTGTGTGTCTGTGCATGTGCGTGATTTTTGGTTTTTTGGTTTTTAAATGTGTGTGTGCTTGCATGCTTTGTGTGTGTGTGTGTGTGTGTGTGTTTGAGTAAAAGTTGTTTGGGTGTGTAAAAGTGTGTATATGCTTTGTTTGTGTGTGTGTGTGTGTGTGTGTGTGTGTGTGTGTGTGTGTGTGTGTGTGTTTGAGTAAAAGTTGTTTGGGTGTGTAAAAGTGTGTATATGCTTTGTTTGTGTGTGTGTGTGTGTGTGTGTGTGTGTGTGTGTGTGTGTGTGTGTGTGTGTGTGTGTGTGTGTGTTGTTTTTGTGTGTGTGTGTGTGAGTCTATTGTTTGTGTGTCTGTGCATGTGCGTGGTTTTTGATTTTTGGTTTTTGAATGTGTGTGCGCTTGCATGCTTTGTGTGTTTGTGTGTGTGTGTGTGTGTGTGTGTGTGTGTGTGCTTGTGAACATAAATAAAACATAATTTTGTAAAAAACTGAACGAGTTTGGGAGTATCGTTATTAAAAACTTAACTAATTCTCAACTTTTACTGAAGGTTTACAATACAAACCTTATTACATCTACTTCTTTGGTAAACGATCTCTCATATAATAAAATCTCTACTAAAGGACAGAGAACAAGACTTTATAGACTGTATCATGAATAAATCATATGAGCACTTTCATATTAGTCAATAATATTACTGAAATTCATTTAAAAGCTGAATAAATACAGTTATTTACACACATTTACACTAGTAAATAAATTAGATGGGCTAAAGATCTGCGCATTTCTCTGCACATAGATTCTGCGTGGGCCTAGCCATAAGTAAACCAGAGGGTTAAACTAAATTATCCAGTTTGCTTCCGCTGGAGTGTTTCCTCTGTGTCAAATGTGTTTTTCTGTCCATTTTATGTGTGTTAAATGTGTGTTTTGTGTGTGTTTCAGGGTAAGCCAGATCTGAACACAGCACTGCCCATCAGACAAACAGCCTCCATCTTCAAGCAGCCGGTCACTAAAGTGGTCAACCATCCCAACAACAAGGTCAAATCTGACCTGCAGAGGGCCACAGAGCAGCCACGACAGGTCAGACACACACACACACACACACACACACACACACACACACACACACACACACACACACACACACACACACACACACACACACAAGCACACACACACACAAACACACACACACACACACAAACACACACACAAACACACACACACACACACACAAACACACACACACACACACACACACACACAAACACACACACACACACACACACACACACACACGCACGCACACACACACACACACACACACACACACACACCACACAACCACTCTGCAAAGCATTCAGTGTTACTGACGAGCACATATGGTGAGCACACACACACACACACACACACACGCACACACACACACACACACACCACACAACCACTCTGCAGAGCGTTCAGTGTTACTGACGAGCACATACGCTGAGCACACACACACACGCACACACACACACACACACACCACACAACCACTCTGCAGAGCGTTCAGTGTTACTGAGGAGCACATTAGCTGAGCACACACACACACACACTCTATTATTATTTGACTATAATGCACAGGTGTAAGAGCTACTCCTCTTCAGCACCTCAGCTGTGTGTTGTTCTCTAATAATTGATTATTCTGCTTCTACTCTAGTCTACTGGATTATGTGTGGATGAAATAAAGCACAGCTGAGGTGTTGATGTGGAGGACCTGTGCATTATTCTCTAATAACCCCCATCCTGCAGCAGGTCACTGCTCTCCTCCTCTGGTCTCCAGCACCGCTGCTGAATCCACTGTCAGATGTTGTGTGTGTGTGTGAGTGTGTTAGTCAGGTGCGTGTCCTCCTGAAACCGCTCCTGTGTGCAGCACTAGTGTCCTCCACATCTCCTTCTGTTGTGTCCTGATGTGGTTTCTGACTGTTGTAGCTGTGAAATAGCTCTAATCATGTAGCGGAGTGATGGAGCTGTAATCAATGACTGTCAAAAATATAGATGATGCGACAGCGCCTTTTCCCATTGAACGATTTGAGTGTGAAGCACCTCATGACGGGCATGTCGTAACACTGCTGAAATTGGAGCCTGGGCATGAGCAGGACTGCCTGATGGAGCCAGAGGCGGAGCCACGGAATCGAGCCTGCCTTGTACCTCAAATCAACCACGCCCCCCAGACTTCTCACTTGAACACCCGTATCTGCACTATAACAAACGCTCGCTAATATAAATATACGCACTTACATTAAAAAACACGTAGTAATAATAATAATAATAGTTTTTATTTGTATAGCACACAGGTGTCAAACTCAGTTCCTGAAGGGCCGCAGCTCTGCACAGTTTAGTTCCAACCCTAATTAAACACACCTGATCAAACTCATTGAGTCCTTCAGGCTTGTTTGAGACCTACAGGTAAGTGTGTTGGAGCAGGGTTGGAACTAAACTGTGCAGGGCTTCGGCCCTCCAGGAACTGAGTTTGACACCCCTGGTATAGCACATTTCCTACATACATGCAACTCAAAGCACTTCGCAAACAACAAACAAGCATTGTAAATTAAACTAAATAAACAAAAAGATCTGGACAAATAAAGCAAAATAAACAACAAATATATACTCCGATAAAAGCACACATGTACACGCGTATATGCATATATCTACACAATCACACACACACACACACAATAGTCCTTACATATGCATATACATGCACACACCGTACATGCATACATACACACATACACACCATACATGCATACATACACATACACCTACACAATACACACACAGTTGAGGTCAGAATTATTCACCCCTTTTGCATTTTTTCCCCCTTTTCTAAATATTTCCCAAATGATGTTGAACAGATTGAGGAAATGTTCACAGTGTGTCTGATAATATTTGTTCTTCTGGAGAAAGTCTTATTTGTTTTATTTCGGCTAGAGTGAAAGCAGTTTTTAATTTTTTAAAGTCCATTTTAAGGTCAATATTATTCGCCCCTTCAGTAATATTAGTGTTGGATTGTCTCCAGAACAAACCACTGTTATACAATGACTTGCCTAATTACCCTAACTTTACCCTAATTACCCTAGTGAAGCCTTTAAATGTCAATTTAAGCTGTATAGAAGAGTCTTGAAGAATATCTAGTCTAATATTATTTACTGTCATCATGACAAAGAGAAAATACATCAGTTATTAGAGATGAGTTATTAACACTTATGATTAGAAATGTGTTGAAGAAATCTTCATTCATCTAGATTTACTCTCTCTCACTGCACAAACACTGGGTTTAATACACTTTATATCTCTTGATTGATTGTGTTCTGGTGTGTGTGTGTGTGTGTGTGTGTGTGTTCTCCGGTTTTTGCCCCTTCATCAACGGTTTTCTGCTGTTTTCTGTTGTGTGTGTGTGTGTGTTTTCTGTACTCTGGCGTTTCAGCAGTCAGGGTTTCACAGATGAAGATTAGTTCTCGTGAGATTGATGTGCGAGAGTGCTTTCTGGAGTCTCAGTTGTCTGCTGGCGATATGAAGAACAGCAGTGAGATGAGGTTTAGTTTTCTCCAGCATACAGATGAGTCTCAAACACAACACTCCTGACAACACACACACACTCTCTGATCCAGTCTGCAGCTCTAAACCACTGATTAAATGAGGGATTCTGAGACAAATATACACTCGGGCTGTATCCCAAATCACCCCTTATACCCTCATTCACTATTCCCTACAGTAGTCCACTAATATAGTCTACCTGAAGCAGTGAATGAAGCAAGTGAGTGATTTGGAGCACTACTGTGTAGGGCTGCATGATACTGAAAAAATCCAACATTGCCATATTTTTTTTATTTTGCGATTTACAGTTGAAAGCAGAAGTGTACACACACTCTAAACAGGAACATAATCATTTTTTTTAAGTGTCTGATGGTAAATCATACTAAATGTTTACTATTTTAGGTCTGTTAGGATTACCAGAATGATTTACACATGCTAAATGCCAGAATGAGAGATTTTTATTTTTTGGGAGAGCTTTTTATTAATTTCTAGACAGTCAGAAGTGTAAACACATTTCCTTGTTTTTTTATCTTTGCTTTTAAACTGTATAACTTTGGTCAGATGTTTTGGGTCTCCTTCCACAAGCTTCTCACAATAGTTTGCAGGAGTTTTGGCTCATTCCTCCTGACAGAATTGATGTAACTGAGTCAGATTTGTAGGCTGTCCTGCTCGCACAAGCTCTTTCAACTCTGCCCACACATTCTCTATAGGATTGAGATCAGGGCTTTGTGATGGCCACTCCAAAACATTCACTCTGCTGCCCTTAAAGCACATTTGAACTCATTTGGCAGTGTGTTTAGGGTCATGGTCTGTCTGGAAGAGCCATTTGTGGCCCAGTTTTATTGTCCTGGCTGATGTGTTGAGATGTTGCTTCAGTATTTCTCCATAATGTTCTGTCTTCATGATGCTATCTCTGCTGTGAAGTGGACCAGTCCCTCCTGCAGCAAAACAGCCCCACAACATGATGCTGCTACCCCCATACTGCACAGTTGGGATGGTCTTTTAGGCTTGTGCGCTTACCTCTTTGTCCTCCAGATGTAACACTGCTCATTATGGCCAAACAGTTCAATCTTAGCTCCATCAGAGCACAGGACATGTCTTCACACATTAGTCTTTTCCCAGTGTCATTCAGCTAATTGTATTCTGGCTTTGTTGTTGATTCTGGCTTGTTGATTTCTCCATGTCGTCACAGAAGGAAGCAGTGTGTTTGAGCTTTTCCTTCAATACAATTCTACAGTTGTGCCTCACATTAACTCAACTGTTGTCAATTAGCCAATCAGAAACCTCCAAAACCCTGACATCATCATCTGAGCTTTTCCAGAGGCAGAATAATCTGATTGTGTGTAAACTTGACTTTCAAGAAGAGTTATAACAATTTCCCAAACAATCTCTCTCTCGTTATTCTGCTGTTAAGCAGAACAGAAACAGATCTGATAATCCTGACTTACCTAAAAGAGGAAAAGTTTAGTCACGTTAACATCTGACTTGTTTTTAAATGGTGATGTGGCTTTCATACAGTGTATGTAAACTTCTGCTTTCAACTGTATACTGCAATATGAACACAATTTCAGCAGATGACTTCATATTTCTATTGGAGAGAATGTACAATGTTAGATGGATTGTGGGGATTCTGCAGTGGGAGTGCATCTCCATAAAATATAATAACCATCTATAAACTTTCTGGGGTCCCCTGACGCATTTCCGTAGTTGTTCCGTTGCTGTTTGCGGTTCATTTCCGTATTTACATGTGTTGTGAGTATTTTCATGCATAATAATCTATAAATACAATCAAGAAAAAGATACAACTGAAATAAAGTGTCCAGTAGCTGAACATAAACATAATCCAATAAAATTCATCCAAAGTTAAGGTCACAAATGCCAGTACAGTATCTCATACCTGAGTGTTTTTAAAATCATTAAACAATTACAGGCATCAAAACACATGCAAATGATAAATTATAATATAGACTCAACAATGCAAATCCTGCGATATGACTATTCTGAGTGAACACATTGCGATATCGATGCTGAAACCAAATATTGTGCAGCTCTGCTACTGAGTGCACTGAAGACGTGTTGTGTTGTTTGTGTTTTGCTGGATTATAAATCCTTCTACAGATGTAACTGAATCTGCAGTTCATCGACTGGCCACTGGGAGGCTGCTCCAAATCAGCACATTTCTATTGACTCCAATGTTAAAGTGGCCAACTTTACAGCAGAAAAAAGGTGTGTGCAGCCTAGTACAAAATAAAAGTTCTGGTGTAAATAGCTACCATTACACTTAATGACTATTTTGAGGGGGTGAATTTGTTTATAACTCACTTGTTTACTTTAGATTAGCCTTACGATTCTGCATGATTAAGGGCATGGCCACTTATTCATCAGCGTTCACCACAGCAGAGTGAACCGCCAACTATTCCAGCATATGTTTTACACAGAGGAGGCCCTTCCAGATGCAAACCAGTACTGGAAAACACCCATACACACTCATTCACACACACACTCATACACTACAGCCAGTTTAGTTGATCAGTTGCCCTATAGCGCATGTGTTTGGACTGTGGGGGGCACCGGAGCACCCTGGGGAAACCCACGCCAACACGGGGACAACATGCAAACTCCACACAGAAATGCCAACTGACCCAGCCGAGGCTTGAACCAGTGACCTGAGTGCTGTGAAGTCACAGTGCTAACCACTGAGCCACGGTGATGCCTGCAAGCATTTATAAAATAAATAAATGAATGAATGAAATCTGAATGAAAGGAGAGTCAATGTTGATGCTTGTGCTGAAGCGTCTCTGTGCAGGAGTTATCATCACATCTATTATTATAGCAGAGATGAAGTGGAGCTGAAGATGACATATAGATGCTCTCAGTGTCTCCTCAGCTCCTCCAGCAGAGGGCAGTAGAGGAACAGGAGTGTGTGTGTGTTTGAGTGTGTGTGTGTGCTTCAGCACTGAGCGTCATCAGAGGAGGAGACAGCGGAGTGGTCAGAGAGATCTGTGTCCAGCGTCTGCTGTGTGTGTGTGTGTGTGTGTGTGTGTTTCTCTCTTAGCACCGCCGCATGGAGAGATCATGATGATCATGATTCAGGACACGTGCAGGAAACACTGGAGCTTTTCTCTGAATCCCCAACGCTGATGATGGACAAACGTGTGTGTGTGTGTGTGTGTGTGTTTGTGTGTTTGTGTTTGTGTGTTTGTGTGTGTGTGTTTTTGTGTGTGTGTGTGTGTGTGTGTGTGTGTGTGTGTGTGTGTGTGTGTGTGTGTGGTTGAGAGAGAGACAGAGAGAGAGAGAGAGAGAGAGAGAGAGAGAGAGTGTGTTCATTTGTGTGTGTGTGCAAGTCTGTATTAGTTATATTATATTCTCACGCACACACACACACATACACACTCACTCACTCTCTCTCTCACGCACATTTTCAGGGGTGTTTCTTCTCTCTGAGCTTCATCATCATCATCATCATCTCTTTCCCCGCACTGAGCACTCCTCAGAAACTCAACATTAGTAACCAAAGAACATTAACACAGCCCATATAATATCCACCAATCAGATTCCAGACCAGCCCGCTGTTTAGGAAACTACAATTAAATTCACAATTAAAGCACAAATAAATAAAATGATAATTAAATATATATTACTAGCATTAAATAAAAGCGTTGAGCACATTATATTTATTTATTATTATTAAAAACAGTAATATTAATAATAATACTTCCTCACATTTATATGCTCTTTTCTGGACACTCAAAGCGCTTTACACAGTTTTTGTTGGGGAGAGGGGGGTGGGGGGGTCTCCTCATCCAGCACCAGTGTGCAGCATCCATGGTTGTTGCTAGATCGGATGTGGTTGCAGCTGGAAGTTAACAAAGTTGATTTATATAATTTATTAAGCTTCCCATTTATTGTATTTCATTAATGCCTGCCCCCAGCCTGACCCTGAACCCAACCCTCACAGTACTGTATAAACATTATTTATTGTTATGCAGTGTCATATGAAATGCTGCTATATTGATGTGTGTATCGCACTTCCATCTAGACTTTACCAGCATCCACCTGGACCACACACAGGTCCTGATTGGCTAATCGGGAGGACCAGGAGAATTCTCTGTGGGCCGGTCTGTTTTTTGGCGGGAGGGCCGGTGTCTTTAGCTGCCTGCACTCTCAGCAATGGCACTTTTTTCATGTGTTTATTTATTTGACCGTCGCCTCACTCTGTTATTCATTATTTTGCTGCAGCTCTGCTCGTCTTATTTATTTTCTCGCAGCCCCGTGAGCAGAATGCAGCCCGCAGGTTAATGATGACGGCGGCGCCTTAGTGAATATAAGAATTCGAATAATTAATATTAATGAATATTACACCTGCTCTATGAACATCAGATGCTTCACTACATTAATAAATCTGACATAACTAGAAATCTAACAAGGGGAGAAAAAGATGAAGACATCAATACAAAGTATAGTGGTAATGCTGTTGGTGTTTTTTATACCAAACGCATCAGCATAACAGCGCCATTGTGGTCCAGTGGCCAGCACACTGCGTTACTTCACCGCCGACCCGAGTTCCAACCTCACCAAAATAATATTTTTTTTCATTTTTAGTGTTGAGACTATAATACTGTTTGGGTTACTTATATAGGTGTACATATTTTATTTGCATTTTTTGTTTGACCACCGTTACATAGGGCTGGATATCTATGAAGAGTTCAGCACAGAGTATATATTCAGATATTGCAGGAAAGCACACTGTGATGATTAAAAGACTAGTATTGGAGATTTAACTGCACACTAATCTTCTCATATTCATGAAAAACATTTGGGGCCCTATCTTACACCCGGCGCAGTGTGGCGCAAGGCACGGCGCAATAGTTGTTTGCTAGTTTCAGCTTGGCACAAGAGTTGTTTTGATGTTTTGCGTTACGCTGTTTAAATAACAAATGCATTTGCGCTCATATGTGCGCCCATAGGTGTTCTGCTCTAGAAAGCAAGTTGTGTTGAGGCGCACTGCTGGAGCGTTGCTATTTTGAGAAACTTTAATAGATTTTTCAACAGACCAGAACAAAGCCGGTCTATTGTCCAGCGCAGAGTTGCGCCTCGCTTACACACTGCTTAATACACACAAGATGTAGAGCAATACACAAATATCTTTACATATGAAAAAGAATTGAAATATTAATGATATATATAGGATATAATAAGGATATATATAGGATATAAATATAAAGGATTCAAATATTACAAAACATTATTTTCTAGCCGACATAAATATAAACACCACTGCCCTCATGCCTTCTTCATCTCGGGAGGCTTTTTCAGTTCATTCATAACAATTTGCTTTTGTATAATGTTATTATTATTAGCAGTATTATTTATTATATGCATATTTATATTTGTTTTATTAAAAACAAGCTTAGATTTGTCCACCATTTCAGACCATATGGCATGTGCATGTGTATTTGGATATTACACAGATGTTTGAGCACGCGTCATTATTATTGTTCATTTATTCGTTTGCTGGAGATTAGAGCTGAATTAGAAACAGTTTTGAAGCAAATCTTTGTGCTTAACAAACTAAATTAATTATGTATAGACTAATTGATGTCTGTGTGTAAAGGTTTCCCTATCCATGAGAGTGAAAGTGAAAGTAGATTATGAGATGCTTTATCTCTCATTCTGGCGCTGCAGATGCTCTGTTTAACTGTTTTCTTGCTAGTGAAATGTTCAGTTTTTCCACTTACTCTTACTTTACGTCATGTAAACAGCAAATGTGCTATGGCGTGACGCAGCTGACTCTTAAAGGGAATGTGAGATGAGACTCTGATTGGTTTATTCTCAAAACACACCTATAACTCATTAAGAGAATAAACTCAACCCTGTTAGACCATGTGCCACGGCGCAAAGCGGATTTTTCCATGCTTATATTAGCAAAAGTCAATTCTGACATGCCCTGAATGCGTTTGTGCCCTGCGCTTTGCACTTTGCGCATAGACCGTCAAAATAGAGCCCCTGAAATTCTAAAGCAGCTGTGTCCTTGAAAAAGACGTGATCGTGTCATTAGAAACTGAACTGGAAATGACCTTATTTTAATAGTCAGTCGTGAACTGAGGTGGGCCGGTCTTAGACTTGAAACTCCAGGGTTGAAAAGGAGTCCCGCTCCGGCCCTGACCATACACCAGGTGATTGGTGGAGAGTAATGAAGCCAATTATCACATGGGGATGGTCAGGAGGCCATGATGGACAGAGGACAGTGGGCAAATTCTTCCTCTTTGAAGGACATCCTGGGATTATTAATGAGCACAGAGAGTCAGGAGCTCAGTTTAATGACCGTAACTGACAGTGTAGAGTCCCCTTCACTATACTGGGGCATTAGGACTCACACAGACCACAGGTTGAGCGCCCCCTGCTGGCCTCACTAACACCACTGCCAACAGTAGCCTAGTGTTCCCATGTGGTCTCCCATCCAGACACTGATCAGTGGGCGACAGGTGAGAGATGCAGAGAGTTAGCTGCCGGATAAACTTGAATAAGTAAAATCCGCTTCAAATATAAAGCAAAACTTAAATCAACTTACAAATGGCGGGAAAATAACTGGACTATGTTGAAATTAACTCAAATTAATTACTAAAATAAATCAAAACTGAAACAAACAGCTCAGTGTTGTCAGCACTGTTGCATCACAACAAGAAGGTCGCTGGTTTGAGTCCTGGCAGGATCAGCTGGCGTTACTGTGTGGAGTTTGCATGTTCTCCCCGTGTTGGCGTGGGTTTCCTCCGGGTGGTCCAGTTACCCTCACAGTCCAAACACATGCGCTATAGGGGAACTGATCAACTACACTGGCCGTAGTGTATGAGTGTGTGTGTGTGAATGTGAGAGTGTTTCCCAGTACTGGGTTGCAGCTGGAAGGGTTTCCACTGTGTAAAACATATGCTGGAATAGTTGGCGGTTCATTCTCCTGAGGCGACTCCTGATGAATAATGGACTAAGTTAAAGGAAAATGAGTGAATGAAACCAACACTAAATTAAAGGCATGATTAATAAAGGACAGATGCGCAGAGCTTCTACAATGCCAATCAGATTTGAAATGAAAGCTGTCATAGATTTGTAACCTATTTTAAGTCCATTTCTCAAACTCCCATGATCATTTCTTTCTAGATTTCTGCCACTGTATCTTTAAGAGCTGTAGCTGTAAATGAGCTGTGATTGGCTGAGAGCGTGCGGCGTGTGTGTGTGTGTGTGTGTGTCAGTTTAGTTCACACCGTCCTTCATCAGACGCTGAATGCAGAGCAGGTGTTAATGTGTGAATATGCTAATGGTACTTTCATTATTTCTCATGCTTTCTGCTCTCCATTCTCCTGAATCGAGCCGCTGATCTGTGAACAGCTCTGAGGAACAGGAGTGTGTGTTTCATCACACATTAACACTTTACACACTCGCAGATCAACAGGATCAACATTTCTGTGTTTAATTAATTCGTGTTTGTCCTTTTTTATTCAGATCGTAAAATTCAGAAGTTTTTAATGCATTCTAAACACATTCAGACGGCAGGTCAAATTAAGGACAAAGTGGCTTTAAAATGAATTAAATGTACATTTAGAGTGTATAAGAATTCAATATTTTAAAAGTGCATGTCAGAATAAGTTCAAAATCAAATTGAAATACATTAAAAATGTGTCCAGAATTCAGCCAGAAGTTTATTTACAATGCAGTCTAAAGTGAATGTACAAATTCATGTCATATAAGTTGAACATGTTATGACTGCATGTTGCAAGTTTGAAAGCACACTCTCAATGTGTTCACAAGGAAAATTAAAACTGATTCAGAATTTATTCAAAATGTGATAGAAATGTGCTCAAACTGCTTGCAAAATATGTTCAGAACAACATACATCCATCATGCATTCAAAGTGCATCAAGAATGCATTCAGCAGATTTCATAAAAATGCATTGATGTAGATTTAAAATGAAAATTGATGCAAAATGTGCATGCAATAAAAATGTGTTCACAAATCACGTACAAAATGCATTCAGAAAATATTCAAAATGCATGTACAAATGTGCTAAACAATATGCTCAAAATACAAGTCAAAATTGATTCAAAATGAAATGAAAACACGTCCAGAATGCATTCAGAAGCTGAACAATACATTAATATACATTTTGAATGAATGCCAAATGGGTTTAAAATTAATAAAATATACATTTAGAATTAAATTTTTAAAATGCATGTCAATATACCTAAAAAATTAAATTAAAACACATTTAAAATGCATCCAGAAAGCATTCAAGAGATTATTTTTACATTGCATAATATACATTTAGACCGGTGGTGTCCAAACTCAGTCCTGGAGGGCCGGTGTCCTGAAGAGTTTAGCTCCAACCCTAATCAAACACACCTGAACCAGCTAATTAAGCTCTTACTAGATATACTAGAACAGGGATGGGCAAACTTGATCCTCGAGGGCCGGTGTCCCTGCAGAGTTTTGTTCCAACACTAGTCAAACACACCAGAACAAATTAATCAGTGTCTTCAAGATCACTTGAACTCTATAGGGAGGTCTGTTTGAATAGGGTTGGAGCTAAACTATGCAGGGACTATGCAGCTAAACTATTAAAAATGCACCCAGAAAGCATTCAGATTTTAACAATGCATTCATATACATTTAGAACGAATTTCAAAATGCATGCCAAAATAATACAAATAATGTCCGCAATAAAAATGCATTTTAAAATTTCGAATTGGAGTCAAAATGTGTTAAAAAATCATGTCAAAACTGCATGCAACATTTATTCAGAATATATTCAAAATGCATATATATGCTCAGAATTGCATACATTTAAAATACATTTAAAGTGCATCAAGAAAGTGCATTAATTCACATTTAGAACGAATGTTAAAATGTGCATGCAATAAAAATGCATTCAGAATGCATGTTTAAAGTTTAAATGTGTACAAAATGTGTTAAAAATATTCCAAATGTGTTCAAAAATCATGTTAAATTGCATACTTAATGTATTCAGAATATATTCAAATTGCATATAAAATGTGCAGAAATATGCTCAAAAGGCATGTCACAATCTGTTCAAAATGAAATCAAAACACATCCAAAATGCATTCTAAAGTTCGTTTTTTACATTGCATTAATACAAATTTAGAATGAATGTCGAATGGGTTTAAAATTAATTAAATATACATTTGCATCAAGTGCATCAAGAATGGATTCAGAACTGCATTATAATGCATTTAGAATGAATGTCAAAATAATGCTAAATGTGCATGCAATAAAAATGCATCCATGTTAAAATGTTAATGTTAAAAGTTTGAAATGGTTTAAAAATATTCATATTATTATGTGTTAAAAAATCATGTTAAATTGCATACAAAATGTATTCAGAATATATTCAGATTAGATTCAACTTTATTGTCTTTACACATGTACAAGTACAATGCAACAAATTAAAACTATGCTCAAAATGCATGTCAAAATCTGTTCAAAATGAAATCAAAACACATCCAGAAAACATTCAGATGTCTGTTTCTTTACATTCCAATTTGAATTTAATATTTTAAAAGTGCATGTTATAATCTGTTAAACAAAAATCAAATATACACAGTTAAACAATGCATTTCAGTTAAACACACATACAGTATATATACACAGTTAAAGTCAGAATTATTAGCCCCCCTGTTTTTTCCCCAATTTCAGAATTTTTTCAACACATTTCTAAACATAATAGTGTTGATAACTCATCTCTAACAACTGATTTATTTTCTCTTTGTCATGATGACAGTAAATAATATTAGACTAGATATTCTTCAAGACACTTCTATACAGCTTAAAGTGACATTTAAAGGCTTCACTAGGGTAATTAGGGGAACTGGGCAGGTTAGGGTAATTAGGCAAGTTTTTGTGTAACGATGGTTTGTTCTGGAGACTATCGAGAAAAATATAGCTCTAAGGGGCGAATAATATTGACCTTAAAATGGTGTTTAAAAAAATTAAAAACTGCTTTTATTCTAGTCGGAATAAAACAAATAAGACTTTCTCCAGAAGTACAAATATTATCAGACATACTGTGAAAATGTCCTTGCTATGTTCAACATCATTTGGGAAATATTTAAAAAAGAAAAGAAATTCAAAAGGGGGCTAATAATTCTGACTTCAACTGTACATTTAGAATGATTGTAAGATGTGTTTACAATAAATTAAATATGCATTTAGAATGTATTAGAGTATAATTTGAATATATCTTCAAAAGTAAATCAAAATGCACCCAGAATGCATTCAGAATTTTTTTTAACAATACATTCATATACATTTAGAATGAATGTCAAAATAATGCAAAATGTGGAGAAATGCATGTTAAAATGTCAAATTGCAGTTAAATGTGTACAGAAATTATGTCAAACTGCATGCAACATTTATTTAAAATAGAAAAAGTGCATGTCAAAAATGTACAAAATATATGCTCAAAATGCTTGCAAAATCACAATACATTTATAATGCATCCAGATGCGTTCAGAAGTTAAACAATGTATTAGTTTACATGTTGAGATTAAATGCATTCAGAATACAGCTCAAAGAGCATATCAACATCAAATGTGTCCAGAATAAGCTGGAAATGCATGCATAATGTCTTCAGAATCCCAGGGCATGTTAAAATGCATTTTCAATGTTTTAATAAGCATAAATATGCTTCAGTTAAATTTAGTCGTTTAGCTGACGCTTTTGTCCAAAGTGACTTAAAATTGAGCAGACATTCAGCTATTCAACATGAAGAGGCAACACACACAACAAGTGTTCATTATACAAGCTGTTATATGCATGCTAAAATATGTCAAAGATAAATAAATTAATTAAAAATGTGTTCTAAACAATACATTAAATGCATGGCAAAATACGTTTTAACATAAAAAAATATTAAATGCATGCTAAAATATGTAACAAAATAATTAAGTAATAACATAATAATAAGTATGTACTAAGTTCATGCAAAAATGTGCAATAAATAAATAAGAAATATGTATTAAAAAAGCTATTAAATGCATGTTAAAATATGTAAAAAAATTATAAATAAATAAGAAATGTTTTTAAGAAGCTATTAAATGGACGCTAAAATATTTTAAAAATTAAATATTAAATGCGTGCTTAAATATCAAAAACATAATGAATAAATGGTCTAAAAAAGCTGTTACATGCATGCTAAAATATGTAAAATGTGTTAATAAAAAGTATGCTCTTAAAAAAAGCTAATAAATGTTGTTATTAAAAATATTAAATGAATAAATATGTTCTAAACAGCCATTAAATGCATGTACAAATGTTCCAAAAATAAATACAAAGAACATAAAAAGGCAATTAAATGCATGATACAATATGTAAAAAAATAAAATAAAAAGCACATTAATAAAATATGTTTAAAAAAACAATTAAATGCATGGTTAAAAGTCAATTTCTTTCTAAAATTTCTTTTCTAAAATAACACTTTTTTTATTTGTTTTGCTTTGTTTAAGTGTTCACTTTTAAAGACATCCAGAAGGCATTTGGGACGGCTTTCTCTGTGATGGACCCATGCTGTGCTGTATCCTGTCTAGACAGGATGTCAGACGGTCTCAGTGCTAGGGTGTTGTGGGAGTGGGCGGGGCTGAGCAGTGATTGACAGCTAAGACTCTTCATCTTTTCTCCTCTTCCTCCTCAGGGAGCAGGAGCTGAAGGTCCAACAGGCGCGCCACAGTCTGGAGGAGGCTCTGATGGCGGACGGTCTGGCCCGCGCTGCAGAATCCACAGTTTAGAGAGATCCCACAGGTCAGAAACACACACACACACACACACACACACACACACACACACACACACACACACACACACACACACACACACACACACACACACACTCACACACACACACACACTCAAACAGAACACTACAGCATATACCACTGTTGTACAATGACTTTTCTAATTACCCTAACTTTACCCTAATTACCCTAGTGAAGCTTGTAAATGTCACTGTAAGCTGTATAGAAGTGTCTTGAAGAATATCTAGTCTAATATTATTTACTGTCATCATGATGAAGAGAAAATAAATCAGTTATTAGAGACGAGTTATTAACACTATTATGATTAGAAATCAGCGTAATGGTGGGTAAAGCGATGTGGCCTCACAGCAAGAAGGGCACTGGAGTCCCGGCTGGGTCAGTTGGTGTTTCTGTGTAGAGTTTGCATGTTCTCCCTGTGTTGGTGTGGGTTTCCTCCGGATGCTCTGGTTTCCCCCACAGTCCAAACACATGCGCTATAGGGGAACTGATCAACTACACTGGCCAGAGTGTATGAGTGTGTGTGAATGGGTGTTTCCCAGTGATGTGTTGCAGCTGGAAGGGCATCCGCTGTGTAAAACATATGCTGGAATAGTTGGCGGTTCATTCCGCTGTGATGACCTTTGATGAATAAAGGGACTATGCAGAAAATAAAATAAATACACTCGCCGGCCACTTTATTAGGGACACCTGTCCAACTGCTTGTTAACGCAAGTTTCTAATCAGCCAATCACATGGCAGCAGCTCACTGCATTTAGGCATGTAGACATGGTCAAGAGGATCTGCTGCAGTTCAGAGCGAGCATCAGAATGGGGAAGAAAGGGGATTTAAGTGTCTTTAAACGTGGCATGGTTGTTGCTGCCAGACGGGCTGCTCTGATAATTTCAGAAACTGCTGATCTACTGGGATTTTCACGCACAACCATCTCTAGGGTTTACAGAGAATGCTCCGACAAAGAGGAAATATCCAGTGAGCGGCAGTTCTGTGGGTGCAAATGCCTTGTTGATGAGGTCAGAGGAGAATGGCCAGACTGGTTCCAGCTGATAGAAAGGCAACAGTAACTCAAATAAGCACTCGCTACAACCGAGCTCTGCAGAAGAGCATCTCTGAACACACAACACGTCCAACCTTGAGGTGGATGGGCTACAGCAGCAGAAGAGCACACCGGGTGCCACTCCTGTCAGCTAAGAACAGGAAACTGAGGCTACAATTCACACAGACTCACCAAAACTGGACAATAGAAGATTGGAGAAACGTTGCTGCTCTGATGAGTCTCCATTTCTGCTGACACATTCAGATGCTCGGCTCAACAGCATGAAAGCATGGATCATCCTGCCTTGTATCAGCGGTTCAGGCTGGTGGTGGTGGTGTAATGGTGTGGGGGGAGATTTTCTTTGGGTCCATTAGTACCAATTGAGCATCAACGCCACAGCCTACCTGAGTATTGCTGCTGACCATGTCCATCCCTTTATGAGCACAGTGTCTCCATCTTCTGATGGCTACTTCCAGCAGGATAACGCAGCATGTCATAAAGCTCAATCATCTCAGACTGGTTTCTTGAACATGACGATGAGTTCACTGTACTCAAATGGCCTCCACAGTCACCAGAGCTCAATCCAATAGAGCAGCTTTGGGATGTGGTGGAACGGGAGATTGGCATCATGGATGTGCAGCCGACAAATCTGCAGCAACTGTGTGATGCTATCATGACAATATGGAGCAAAATCTCTGAGGAATATTTCCAGTAGCTTGTTGAATCTACAACACCAAGGATTAAGGAGGTTCTGAAAGCAAAAAGGGGGTCAGACCCAGTACTAGTGAGGTGTACCTAATAAAGTGGCCAGTGAGTGTACATAACATAGAACATAACATTGACAGTACATTATGTTGACTGTCATCGGTCAGTAAATAAATCCTATAACCAATCAATTAGGACTATTTTGCACACAACCGACAACACACACACACACAACACACACACTTACACAACAACTAAATGAATATTAGCCATGCACTATGATGGATGTTTGTCATTAGGGTGTGATGATGTTTGTTTGTTGTTATGGAACACTAACACACTTCACTGACAGTGAAAGCATCAGTCTTGCTGCATGTGATCATGTGTTGATATCTCAGCGTCTGTGTGTGTGTGTGTGTGTGTGTGTGTCTGTGTGAATGAGTGAGATTGTGTGTTTGTTTTCTGTGCAAGTCTGTGACTGAGTGTGTATACATGTCTGTAATAGTGCGTGTGCATGTGTATGCTTGCATTAGCGTGTGTGGATGTATGTGTGTGGATGAGCAGGTGTGTGTTATTGGATGTGTGTCTACGTACGTGTGAGTAAGTGTGTCTGTTAGTGTATGTGTGGATGAGCATGTGTGTGCGAATAATTGTGTTTGTGTGTGCGTGTGTGCGTGTGTGCGTGTGTGTGTGTGTGTGTGTGTGTGTGTGTGTGTGTGTGATGGAGATGTGCAGTAAAGGCTCAGAGGTCGCGTGTCATGAAATATTCAGAGCTTCATTAAGTCTGACGTTCAACAGCCTCTTCATCATCATCGTCATCATCATCTGACACTGTTTAAGGGAATTAAGAGTTCATATTCCTTCATTGCCCTGTGTGTGTGTGTGTGTGTGTGTGTGTGTGTGTGTGTGTGTGTGTGTGTGTGTGTGTGTGTGTGTGTGTGCTGTGGTGGATCAGCTCTTGAATACTGATGCGTTCACAGATGGATGAACAGCCACTGAAACACACTTTCCTGAATAATCAGACTGATTTACATTCGCTGAGGCCTCTCTCTCTCTCTCTCTCTCTCTCTCTCTCTCTCTCTCTCTATCTCTCTCTCTCTCTCTCTCTCTCTCTCTCTCACACACACACACACACAGTGAAATGTCTTTATTTGTTGTGTCTCGATCACCAAAGCTGATGTTCTTCGTTTTGTTTGCTGTGATGAAGCTGTTCTGTAATTGGATGAGGGCTGTGGAATGTGGGCGGTCTTATGTTTATTTCTATATCTCTTCATCCAATACAATATGTTGAAGCAGCTTTCAGGCAATAAATGAATGCTGGTTTTGTACGTGAAGTGATGATTCTGTTAGTTATATTAGGGATAAAGTACATCAGGAGGTTGTATACACTAACCTGCACATTATTCAGACAAAGTCAAAACACAACAGAAACGAAAACAGCTGATGGAGTATACACTAACCTGCACATTATTCAGACACTAGATGGAGACAAACAGTCAAAAACACAACAGAAACTAAAACAGCTGATGGAGTATACACTAACCTGCACATTATTCAGACACTAGATGAAGACAAACAGACAAAAACACAACAGAAACTAAAACAGCTGATGGAGTATACACTAACCTGCGCATTATTCAGACACTAGATGGAGACAGTCAAAAACACAACAGAAACTAAAACAGCTGATGGAGTATACACTAACCTGCGCATTATTCAGACACTAGATGGAGACAAACAGTCAAAAACACAACAGAAACTAAAACAGCTGATGGAGTATACACTAACCTGAGCATTATTCAGACACTAGATGGAGACAAACAGTCAAAAACACAACAGAAACTAAAACAGCTGATGGAGTATACACTAACCTGCGCATTATTCAGACACTAGATGGAGACAAACAGTCAAAAACACAACAGAAACTAAAACAGCTGATGGAGTATACACTAACCTGCGCATTATTCAGACACTAGATGGAGACAAACAGTCAAAAACACAACAGAAACTAAAACAGCTGATGGAGTATACACTAACCTGCACATTATTCAGACACTAGATGGAGACAAACAGTCAAAAACACAACCGAAACTAAAACAGCTGATGGAGTATACACTAACCTGCACATTATTCAGACACTAGATGGAGACAAACAGTCAAAAACACAACAGAAACTAAAACAGCTGATGGAGTATACACTAACCTGCACATTATTCAGACACTAGATGGAGACAAACAGTCAAAAACACAACCGAAACTAAAACAGCCGATGGAGTATACTCTAACCTGCACATTATTCAGACACTAGATGGAGACAAACAGTCAAAAACACAACCGAAACTAAAACAGCTGATGGAGTATACACTAACCTGCACATTATTCAGACACTAGATGGAGACAAACAGTCAAAAACACAACAGAAACTAAAACAGCTGATGGAGTATACACTAACCTGCACATTATTCAGACACTAGATGGAGACAAACAGTCAAAAACACAACCGAAACTAAAACAGCCGATGGAGTATACTCTAACCTGCACATTATTCAGACACTAGATGGAGACAAACAGTCAAAAACACAACCGAAACTAAAACAGCTGATGGAGTATACACTAACCTGCACATTATTCAGACACTAGATGGAGACAAACAGTCCAAAACACAACAGAAACTAAAACAGCTGATGGAGTATACACTAACCTGCGCATTATTCCGACACTAGATGGAGACAAACAGTCAAAAACAACAGAAACTAAAACAGCTGATGGAGTATACACTAACCTGCGCATTATTCCGACACTAGATGGAGACAAACAGTCAAAAACAACAGAAACTAAAACAGCTGATGGAGTATACACTAACCTGCGCATTACTCAGACACTAGATGGAGACAAACAGACAAAAACACAACAGAAACTAAAACAGCTGATGGAGTATACACTAACCTGAGCATTATTCAGACACTAGATGGAGACAAACAGTCAAAAACACAACAGAAACTAAAACAGCTGATGGAGTATACACTAACCTGCGCATTATTCAGACACTAGATGGAGACAAACAGACAATAACACAACAGAAACTAAAACAGCTGATGGAGTATACACTAACCTGCACATTATTCAGACACTAGATGGAGACAAACAGTCAAAAACACAACAGAAACTAAAACAGCTGATGGAGTATACACTAACCTGCACATTATTCAGACACTAGATGGAGACAAACAGTCAAAAACACAACAGAAACT